AAAAAAAAAAGGAAGATCAAAAAAATCGACATATTCAGATAATGGTGTTAGCAAAAAGTACTGACTATACCATGGGCTGCAAAAGGACAAACCAATCCGTCTGGGAGGACATACAGCCAGAATGCTCCTTTGAAGGAAGTTGGGAAGACCTCGTCTCTGTTACTTGGCATATGTCATCAGGAGCTACTAGTCGGCATGCTGCATAAAGCAGTGTGTGGAAAAATGCAATTAAAAGGTAATGGAATTTTCCCAAACTTTAAAAAATTCTCCTCATAAAAGATTAGTGAAACGGAGGGGTGCCCTCAGTGAGAGGGCTTGACAGAGTGGCTGCAACAGCCGGCTCAAACAGAGGAGTAAATGCGGGAACGGTCAGGACGAGGCAGTGTCTTGTCCCATTATCCGTAAGGTCGCCAAGAGCTCAAACAGAGCCCCCGGCATCTAAGCATGAGAATTGGTGTCAATTTTAGAGCTACAGCTGGGATAAGTTTGACAATGACTACTCAAAAGATCAGACAGGAACTTTAGGGGTGGCATAAGTTGATGTAATGGGGGAGCAACAGTTCAGAAGAGAAGGGTGAGAATGGCTGCCCAACTTGATGCAGAATCAATGCCGCTGAATTATGCATGTCGAAACTTAATTGGGGGAGGCTTTTCTGTGTATGTTCTCAACATTGACAAAATAAAAACAATTAAAAGCTGATGTATAGTTTAAACCCTTCTCTAACAAACCTGCCCAATTCTATCTAACATAAGCTTCAGGTAGGACAATATGCTGGCATTATTCAGATTATTGCCATTGCAACTACATTGGTTCTATAGATGGCAATATTTATTTTTAAGCAAAAAGGCTGTGCTAAATAGATGTGGGGAGCCTAAAGTGGGAGAGGGAGCAGTAACTGCTGGAGACAACAACCTAGGTCCTATGAAGAATCTTAAATACAGGACACCTGAGAAATGTAGTTTTAGTTTTCGAGTCTTTATACCAAAACCAAATCCACTGCTGTCCAGTCTATGCTGACTCAAAGAGAAGCTACATGGGGTTCCCGAGACTGTAAATCTTTATAGAAGCGGCGAGTCTTATGGGTAGCAGTCACCCACCATGCCACCAGAGCTCCCTCATCTTTAGAATGTTGTGAGCAGGGGTTGCGAAGGGTTAAGAGCGAGTGTTACATGAGCCAATCTGTGGTATCAGCTCCAGCAGTTTTATTCACTGTATTTTATATTGAGTGTTCAACCTATCCTTTTCAATCTTATCTTCTTCACCTATCCATATCTAATTCCCTTTTTAAGTCTGATTTTCTCCAGTCTTCTCAAATCATTCCAATCTATGTAGCATTTAATTTTTTCATCACCTAATTTTATTTCATATGTGCCTTACATCCTCACTGAGAAACAAATGCCTCGAGAGTATAACTGTGAAATGCCAGCCACTGCGTACTTTTCATCCTGTGTATGTGTTTGTCACGTCGTTTAAAGAATTGAACAGGACCAGAGAGGACTGAGATACTGTCTCATTTAGCTTTGAATTCTTCCAGAACTTCATGAGTATTTCACATACAGAAATGTAATTTATATTGAATTAAATGACCTGTAGGTATTTCCTGGACTCCATCCCTCCTTGTGAATTTTAGTTAAATCCAATCTACCAAAAGAAAAGGGAAGTATTTGGTCGGGGGTGGGGTGGGGGTAGGGGGGATGGTGTCCTTTATTATATTTTCAACTGGAAGTGAGTTTGTGTACTTTTGATAGGCCTGTATCAGTAGCATGGTAACTATATAATATGAACCACCTAATTTTCCATCCCTTTCCATATTCTAAAACCTACTGTGTACTTTGACAATTTTAAAATCATTGAAATTTTAAAATCATTTACTGTAAGACCACCCTGAGCCTGGAAATATTTAGAAGGGAGCTATCGTGGTCTGAGTTCAGCCTTGAAGGAAGAACCTTACATATGGGCCTGCATATAGATACTTAACTGGAGAGGTAATATAGAGTCGCTAGGAGCCCTGGTGGCATAGTGGGTTATGCACTGGGCTGCTAACCACAGATCAGCAATTTGAAACCACCAGCCACTCCTCAAGAGAAAGATGAGGCTTTCTATCCTATAAAGAGTATAAAAAAAAAAAAGTTAGTCTCAGAAACCTAAAGGGGCAGTTCTACCATGTCTTACAGGGTCACTATGAGCCAAACTTGACTTAAAGACTGACTGATTTTGATTTAGATGGTCACTAAGGAGTCTTAGTGGTACAATGGTTAAAGCACTTGGCTGCTAAATGAAAAAGTTGGCAATTTGAACCTCCCAGCAGCTCCATGGGAGAAAGATGTGACAGTCTACTGTACAGATTTATAGCCTAGAAAGGCCTGTGGGGCAGTTCTGTCCTATAGGGTTGCTATGAATCAGAATCAACTCAACAGCAACAGGTAGAGAGGGCTCACTCTTAAGTTAGAACAACAATCATCCCAGGAGAGCAGCAGTGAGAGACCAACGGAGTCGAACAGGGAAGGCTGAAAAGCCAACACAGGGCCCAACACTGAGTGAGCTGATTACCATCATGGGCACCTGGAGCTCAGTCCTGCTAAAATCTTGTGAGGAATGCCAGGGGTGCTCTCCAGGACTGTGAGGTGGGTAGACAGGAAGTAGTATTTATGTATTAGCTTCCTCCCACCCTGGGTTAGGGGTGCCTCAGAGGGTGGTCGTTGCCCTTGCCACTATAATTAGGGAAGCGATAAGAACTAAATCTGACCCTCCCAACTGTTCTTCTCAGCTATCTTTGAAATTAGGGGATGTGAGGCATGGCACAAAATGTTGGATAAAAATATAGCCTTAGTCTAATATTGTCAGATGTTCCTACATCTCTGGATTTAACTCAGAAAATTATGCCAGGGGGCGTCACAGTAGATAATCAAACAACCTCGTTTTGTTTTTCTAAGCTTCTCTAAATTTACTCTTTATTCTTTCTAATTAGATTTCTTTTCCCAGTTCCTTCTATTATTCCTGGGATTGATGCTACTGTGCTTTCCTGATTGTTCGGTGACTTACTTTCACAGTCTAGCCTTCCACTCGGAAAGAATACAAATTCTTTTCCTAGTTACTGAGTTGACAGGCAGTATTCGCTACAATTTCTGGTTTAATAATTGCCTCCAAGATCAATATTACAGGACTTATGACGTGTAGTATTCTCAAGAGCCTGTAAATTTCTTCTTCAACCCAATAATTTTTTTAAATCATTTTATTAGGGGCTCATACAACTCTTATCACAATCCATACATACATCAATTGTGTAAAGCACATTTGTAGATTCATTGCCCTCATCATTCTCAAAACATTTGCTCTCCACCTAAGTCAACCCAATAATTAACTAGGGAAAGCATTTTAGATTTTCAGTTAGGTTAAAATAAGTGTTATTAATTTTGAGAGTTGCTGCTAAAATATTGCTTGCCATTTAAGAAAAAAATACAAGCCTGAAAACATAAAGCACCCAATTTTCCTCGAAATCATTCTAAATCCTAGGAAGGATTTTATCTTGAAAAAAATATTTGATATAGTTTTCATTTAAGTATAACAATATGTACATCCATTAAGTAAAACAACATGTATATGCTGACAGAATGTTATGAAGGGATAAAACATAAAAATAGATCAAATGTTTACATAAATATTAACTAGGGCATTTTAAAAAGTCTTAAGAAATAACTTTCCTAATAAAATCTGATGTGTGCATTTTTGCAAACCTTCCGAATTCTACATGAGCAAGCACCTAACACCGACCCAAGGACTACATTTTAAGAAAGTGCTAACTCTGCAAGAAAATGAGTTCTTCCTGCTAGTGACCCCATTGTGAGAGGGAAACGTTGGTTATCCCGTTATTTTCAGGCAAACCAATTATTTGTTTAGATTATAAATTTTACTTTCCACTTAGAAAGTCCAAAGTAGCAAAATTATTTAAATGGAATAAAATATAAAATAATCCAATAGTTTCAAATTTATAAATGTCCTGTTCCTCTAGATATTTTGACTACAACATGGGCACTTCCTCAGGCTTTTTTCATGACTACTATCTCCTGGCTTTGATTAACTCGTGGAATAAAATAAAATTACACAAACACATAATTAAAGGATGGGATAAAATGGCAATCTACAGTATGCTAAGTACTGATATAGAGACTTATGGACCTATAATACAACATTCTGAACTCCAGTAAAATCCTAGCCAGGACTTTGACTTTGAGGTTTCATTGTTACTTTTTTCCTAGCCATGAAAAAAGTGGTTCTCTTAAAAAACATGTGCTTCTGGTGATAGAGCCCCTAAACGGGGGTGCTGGCTTGGATGTGGAGCAGAAGCCCTGCACAGCCTGACTCCAGGGATCACCATTCCCATAGACCCAGATGGCCGTCCTAATCTAGGAAATTCTCGTATCCAAAAACCAAACCAACCCATTGCTATTGAGTAGAGTCTTAAATCACAGTACTCTACAGGACAGAGTGGAACTGCCCCACAAGGTTTCTAAGGATTTAATTTTCAGCGAAACCCCAAAAACTCAATGCCAGTGAGTGTGTTCCAATGCACAGCTACCCTACAGGACAGGGCAGGACTGCCCTGGGGGTTTCCATGACTGTAACTCTTCATAGGATTAGAAAACCCGCATGCAAAAACGTAAAATTCTGGCACTCGAGTTAAACGAAACAGCTAGAGAGGCACCCTAACACTATAACCTCAACCATTTAAAAAATATTCTAGTAGTGAAATTTTACAAATGTGCATATACTACATGACTGTTTACATGATACAGAATGTTGGGTATGTACGGAAGTGGTAGGATGTATTAAAAATGCAACTTCATTGCCTTATCTCAAAATGATTTTCTCCTCCATGTTAATCATCTTAACAATTCCAAGACTCACTTTTAATTTCCTCCTCTCTATTTCCGCCTGTTCTTCCTGGTACAATTCTTGTCGCACTTGCTCCAAGTCTTCCTGCCGCCTCAGCATTTCTTCTAACTTCTGAGCCAGCTATGAAATTCAAAACACACAAATGTGAACAGGAATCAAATTCTCCAATTAATATTTCAGAAAGCCTCATAAAGAAGTGATTAATTTAATACCGCATTCCGAAATTGTGCTCGTTTTTCCTCAGACTCTTGAACTTTGGCTTTCCGATCTTCTTCCCTCTGCTTCTGTATATTGGCAAACTCCCGAAGTTTCCTGTTTTCTTCCTCCATCTCCTCAAGTTTCTTTTGTTTCCAGAGCGCCTGCTGCCTCTGAAACTCTTCTACATACCTTCGAGTCGCATGCATCTTTTCTAACTTTTGTTGTTTTTCCCTAGAAAACAAAAAGGCGTACAGTTTCATAAAAACAGATTAACAGTTAAGTGAAAAGAGCTATTTCCTTCCATTGAAAATAATGTGGCAACAAGGGCTTTCATCTTCACAATGTGTTCGTTCATTCATTCATTCATTCACATAACAAACACTTAGGGTGTCTACTGTGTGCCACTAAATATAAAATCAGGTGTCAGTTTTCTCTGGGTGAAATGATAATGAAGCTTTCTGCTTGATTATCATTTCAGAAAGGTCACAGCCTGTATGTCACTCTACACTTAAGCTGTCTGCCAAGGAAATGTATCAGAAAGCGTGTCTTCTGGCACCTAATATGGGTGTATTAAAAAAAAGAGATTCAGCAATTCAGAGAACATGCTAGCTAAGATGGCAAGAGTTGGTCTCACGTCATGTAATGAGAGCTAACATTCATTGAGCACTTACTGTGTCTCAGGCACTGTCCTGAGTGTTCTAGATCCTTGACCACAGGACGGTGGTCAACTTTAACAATTTAGCCAGGTAAGAAAGTTGGGACACACTTACAATTGGTCCTCTTCATAGATTTTCCTGACAATTTCATCAATCATGAGTTTCTCTTTCAGCAGCTGCTTGTAAGCTTCCTGCTTTCTTATCTCTTGTTCTTCAAGTTGCTTCTCCAAGTCTTCCTGGTACTGGGCTTTCTCTCTGTTTCGTTTGTCCTCGGCGGCATTCTCTTCCTTTACTGCTCTCTCATGCTCTTCCATCATAGTTCTAGCTATTTCAGCTTCCCGTCTCTATTAAAACAAAATGTATCTTTCTAATTTCAAGTGGGACTCTAATGCTATAAAACCTGTACCATAAAATATTTTCATCTGTCTAGATAAGATGCGGAGCTAAGTCACAGTCATTTGGAGGGTCTGGGTGATGAGCCACACCCTAAAGAGGCTTTTGTAGTCCTTCAAGTAGCTCCTTGAGGGAAATCTGACAATAACAGCTTCATGTTTGAAAGACAATGGGTAAAAGTACAAGTACTTCAGTAATAGCCATTTCAATGACTGCGGCATTGTTGTTGCTATTAACTACTGTCCAAGAGGTTCTGGCTCATGGCCCTTTCCCACTGCCGCCAAGTTGACTGAACTCATAGCAGCTCTGTTTTGGGTTTCTGAGACTGCAAATCAGTATGGGAGTAAACAGCCTCAACTTTCCTCAGGTGCTGGTGGGCTTGAACCGCCAACCTTGCACTTACAAGAGAATAAACACTGCCAGGTCCCGCACCATCCTATGGTACTATGCATCCTTTTTTCCTCTTCATAAGTTGCTCTAGGCAGCTGTCTTCATTTTCAGCTCCATTGTGTATCCGGTTCTACTTAAGCTGGTTGGTACCGCTTTCTTATAGGTCTGCTATTGAATGGCTACAATTCTTAAGTTTCTCTTGCCCATACTTCATTCATGTTACTGCCCTTTATGTTTTGCTTAGCCCTTGAATCTCCTTTTCTTAGTTATTAAAGGCCCTTCGTAACTACTTTGACTAAAAGTGCCCGTCACTCTGTTTCCTGCAGTTTTGAATTAACTCACGATCATTACCCCTGAGTTAGAGACAAGCCTGCTTGTTGGATAGGTTAAACCTCTCAATTCCTTTTGAGCATTTTCAAATCATTTAGACAAAAGCAAGCTTCACGTTAAATGTACAAATCGTCTTAGGAGTCGAGCTAAAATGTCTACGACTAACTACTTGACTAACCTCAAATCCCGGTAAATCCTGGGTCAAAAAGGACATCGTTTGTGTTCTACTTTATTTTTTAAAACTATATGGTGTAGAAAACGGTCCCCCACCATCTCCTGCCACCTACCACACCATGCTATTTATCACTCTCTACTTTCTCTATACAAATACAAACGCGCACATTTCACACAAATGCATGTATCATTTATAACCAGCAATGATTCTGATTTGGTACCTACATGTATTGCAGAGCCCAAGAATTTTGATATCATTCCTCTAATCATATGTGTCTACTGGAAATATGTGTACATATATATACATATATGCATAGACAGTATTGATGTACACAAATATGTATATGTGCTAATATATATATATATATATACACATATACTTTTAAAAGTAAAACGTATATGATATGAATTATTCCCCAACTTGATTTTTCTCCAACATGTTTTTGTTTTATTTTTTCCCTCTCCTTAGCTTGTAATGTATTCTGGCCAACTTTAAAAGCCAGAACATTTACCACGCCTTCTTTCTCTGACAGCTGTACAACATCTGTGAAAGGGACCAGTAGAGAGGGAATCCACCACCATCTACATGCTAACAGGAAACAGGGACGGGAACTGTAATCCCTCAGCAAGACCGAGCTGTCTATGTTTGGCCTCTCTGTGTGATAATGACAGTTCAGTTCAAGAGAGCACGTGCACCCTGCTATTGCTCTGCTTTTCCTCAATGAACTCAAATGTATATTTATACTGTGCAACATTACTGATGAGTATGTCTGAGAGTTCTTTGACCAAAAGTATAACTCTTACTCTAAACGTGGAAGCATTTCAGGAGTTAAAAAACAAGGGGTGATTGAACTGTGGAATAGTAATAAAATGGTTGGGGAGTGAGGTGGGGGGTGGAAGCTGGTCATGGCCAACGGTTTCCCATGCCCGGGATGAAGAGAGCGGACATCATTACCCAGGACAGAGGCTTAGGAAAGGAGGAATGGACACAGGAAATACTGAAAGAAAGTGAAAAGAGGGGGTTGCAATGGCTGAGCTGAAACAAAATGTGTTTATAAATTGTTAAGTGCCAAACTCATGATCTGTTCTGTAAGCTTTCACATAAATTATAACAATAATAAAGAACAAAAACCCCAAGGGGCTAAAAATAGAAATAGAAGAAAAGATGACCATAAAAAAGAGGTTTCTAATGTAAAATGTTTACTCTTCAAAACATGGAAAATGAGTAACATTCTAAAATAACTGGTCATACCAACAACTTGTAGTACACTAACTTGTCGAGAAGTAATTTATTACAGACAACGTGGGAGGTCTGGCAACCGCACCCTCCACATCCCGCCTCAAAGGCTGGCAAGGCAACCGAGTCATATAAAATCTTCATTTCCTACACTTTAAGAAACTAACATGTAGACAAGTTTTTTCAATATAGCATTATAAATTCTTTATATGATGTCATAATTTTCTAATTTCCCCCCAAGATAAAGCTAAAACCATAAAAACGAGAAACATAGTTACCGTTTGCTCATATTTAATAGCATCCTTTTCAGCAATCTGAGCCGCCCTTTCTTTATTCATGTAAGCTGCTTTTAATTTCTTCTCTAATTCTCTGAGTTCAATACTGTTTAAAACAAAGAAAGAAAGAAATTTAAATTTGAGGACCATATTTTTCTTACTACTATTAAGTATAATCTATTTCTGCATTTTAAAAGATTTTTTCTAAATGTGCTGTGTATTTAAATATTTTTGAAAAATATCCTTTTCTTTCTTCAGCCAAAGAAAAATCAGAACATGTGTGGATTACAATGATTTTCTGCACAATAATTATTTCCAATAATCATCACTCAACTTTTTGTGTGCCAGTGTCTCCCTGCTACCTCAAATCCCACCCCCACCCCCACCAAAAAACCCTCAAACTCAATACTATTGACTTCATTCCAATTTACAGTGACCCTACAGGACAGGGCAGAATTTCCCCAGGGGTTTCCAAGATTGTAACTCTTTACAGGAATAGAAAGCCTCATCTTTCTCCTAAAGAAAGAATTGGTGGCTTCGAACGACTGACCTCACAGTTAGCAGCCCAACACATAACCACTATGCCACCAGGGAGCCTCCAAAAAAAAAATAGTGTTGAAATTCCAACCTTTAGGGTTTTATGCTACGTAAATGTGACCATATCAGTAGGGCATGTCGCAAACCGATCACTTCCCTTGACTTTAATGATCTTTGATTCCTATGTAGCTGTTTTGGGTTTTTTTCCAATGAAATCACTTAGAGAAACCAAGGTACCTGTTTTCTCTTACTTGTTGCCTCATCTTCTCATCCTTTAGACATTCATGTTTTAGTCTTGCCAGTTCTGAAGCCAGTTTTTCTTCTTGTGCAAGCTGGCGTTCCCTCAATCTTTTGTTTTCTTCTGCCTGAATGAGAAAGCAATGTCAGGTATTTCTCCTCCAAATCATTTTCTGCTTAGGTTTGGATGAGCTTGTTTAATGATATAAAACCACAAGTGTCGCAGGAACTAGGGCTGATTCTCTTGTGCCTTTCACAGCTGATCGCATATCAAGAGATGCTGCTTAGTACCCCACAGTTCTTCACTGTACACCCTTAAAACTGGCTATGTCATTCTTCACATGAAAATGTGAAAGTGATTTTTAAATTCATAATGTTCTTTCAAGAAATACTTTTCAAGCTTTTTAATAAGAAAAACTACACATTTCAACCAATATACCCTTAGGTAGCCATCAATCATCTTCAATAATATTTTGCCAATCTCTATTAATCTACTCTCCCACTATAATCTTGTTTCCTTAGACTTTTCTTTTGCTAGACTATTTTAAAACAAACCAGACACCATGTTATATACTTACCGGGTATATAATTCAGTGCTTTTTACATCCAATTTGATCCAACAATGCAATCTGTGCTTGATGAGAATTTTGTTCTAGGTCACAATGATGACATGAACACACTAACAATAACCCCTGTCCATATTCAAGTTTCCTCGATTGCCTTCTAGATGCTTCTTTTTCTGGTAGGTTTCATCAAGTCAAAAGCCAAACAAGGTCCTCATGTTACTAAAATGTAATGATAATTCCCCTACTAAATGCCATCGAGTCAATGCCGGCTCATAGCAACCCTGTAGGACAGGAACCCTGAGGTGCCCGTGAGTTTCCAAAACTGTACATTTTTATGGGAGTAGAAAGCCGTGTTTTTCTCCCTAATTCCCCTTAAGTCATTTTTCATTCTGTAATTATTATCCTGTCCTTTTCGTTCAAGTCATTGACTTGTTTCAGAAATCAGGTCTCATAGAGAAAACTCTACAGTCTGAATGAACTGGTTTATTCCTCCCTAATATCACCGGTTTCTCATTGATATTCCCTGTAACATGGTAGAAACCTCTAGAAGCATGACTGCATTCTGTATTTAGGGAAAAGTACCTTACAGCCTTTTTTGTATATGTCTTAAGCATCACATTTTGAGGCACACAGTATTATAAGACACTAAATTGGGGTGATTTGCTATACAGCAACTGAAAACCGATACAGGTGACTTTCCAAAGTATCAAGGTCAGGAAAGACAAGGAAAGACTGAGAAATCCCCAGAGTGGAAGGACTGGAGGAAAGGACGAAGACAAAACAACTGAATGAAATTTGAGTTTTAGGAACAGAAAAAAAATGCATTAGCAGAAGAACTGGTGAGATTCGAGTAGCCCTGTAGCATACTTAACAATACTGCCAAAACAACCGAAGAAACCTGCCACCAAGCCGATTCTGGTTCACGGGACCCAAAGAGTACTGTATCATGGCTCATTTCTTCACGTGGCTAACAGTTTCATCATTAGGTGAGTTGTAAACATAAAGGGAAGTGGAGTGAGGATAGAAAAATTCACTGTACTATTTTTGCAATTCTTTTGTAACTTTAAAATTATCTCAAAATGTAAGATGAAAACATGCAAACAAACCCAAATTTGCCTATGGAAAGACCTGGAGGCAGGACAAACCAATAGCAATCAGCACACTGAGCATTCAAGAATGTGGTCTCTAGATATTTCCACGAAATGGTGACAAGGCTGCGTGGCACAATGGCTGACTCTAGAACATAGATGAGAAGAACCTTGCACATTTTGTTTTGACAAAAAGCAAGAAAATTATTGGCGATTAAACGAATTTTGTCAAAAGGCCACCAGACCAAACGCACTGCCACGGATCTGATTCTGACTCACACTGAGCCCACAAGACAGAGTAGAAGTGGCCCAAGACGGTAAGCCTTTATGGGAGCACACGCTCCTCATCTCTTCCCTGAGGAACAGCTGGTGGATTGGAGCCTCCCCACGGAATCCACTGCCATCCAGTCAATTCTGCCTCATAGTGACCTGGTAGGGCAGGCCCGGGTGAGTTTCCAAGACTGCTAAATCTTTGTGGGAGTAGAATGCCTCATCTCTCTCCTGCAGAGCAGCTGGTGGTTTCGAAATGCTAACCTTGAGGTTAACAGCCCAATATGTAACCCCCACACCATCATGGCTCCTTAATTAGCAGTCTGAAATGTAATTCACTATGACATAAGGACTCCTTTGAGAAGGACACACAGAAGGCATTTTTTTAAAAATCCATTAAACAAGGATTCAGAAAGAATAACTGGTTCAACCCCGTGCTAAGAATTTCTCTCTCCACTACAGGTTTACTAAGTGAAAATCTACATTTTAACAAGATCCTCACATAAAGATCCATAGAAATTATAACGTAGATTTTGAATCCGTGTATCAGGGGTGAAGAGGCAAATTCTCAGCAATCAAACTGGAATGAAATAATTTGACGTACTGATGAAAAATGAAAAGAAAAAAAGTTTCCCAAATGATGTAGGGTGACACGAATGGAAAGTAACTAAGGCACCATTTTTCACTATGAAAACTAACCATTGATCTCCCTTTACAAGTAGAACTGTATTTCAGGGTACAAAATATCTTGGTTGATAAAGGAAGGTTCTTTACTATGGAATTTCAGCTGATTACATGAGAAAAGGGGAATTTTTTCCAACTTATTACATGTGTAAAGAATTATAAAAGCACTGTTTGCAACCACTCAGGAAATAAGATTCACTGGTGAAGCAATTAGATGAGTTTGACTGGGACCTTTCAAATGGAGTAATGAGGCTCTATTATTAAACCTAATCATCAATGTTAGCATCTGAAAATGAAGACACCAGAGACTGTATCCTGTGTAGCTGTAGTGCAGTTAATGACTTAATATGGCCCTTCTAGTCATAGTCCTTAATTTTGGGAAATACTGTAAATCCTATCCTCTATGCCAATCTATGGTTATAGTCAAATTCTGCAGAGTTGTCTGCTATGTTAAGGAGGCAGGATCAGGGTGGGACACATCTAAAGTTGCTGCCTTACGAAAGGATGTGATTCAAGTCAACAGTTTCTGTGGGATGTGGTCTGTGGGGTGCTCCGGTATAGTTGCCCCCTCCCTCTGGATTCTACAACTCACCTGTCTTCATCTGACTTCTGGTTCTTGGAACTTGAGCCCAGGGCCTATTGTCTGACCCGATTCATTGCCTTCCACCGTCTTGTGAGCAATCAGCCTGTTGTCAACACCTGCAGCCATGTGAATCGGGACAGGTCTCCAGACTGATGCTTGACCCACATATGTAGGACGTAAGATCCTTCACAACCACACAAGCTCTTGCTCTGACACTGGCAACAAGTAGTCTATTGCCTGACCTGATTTGCCAGCTTCCGTGGCTCAAAACGCCAGCGGCCTGCTCTCAGACTTGCCAATGCTGGGTTCCTCAGCCCTTGCAACAAGGAGCTCTAGTGGCGCAGCCAAGAAAGTATTAGACAGCTAACCTCAAGCTGGGCAGTTCAAACCCACTAGCGGCTCCACAGGAGAAAGATGAGACTATTTGCTCCCTCAAAAACCATATATTGGGTCACTTTAAGTTGGAATGGACTTCATGGCAGTGAGAATGGTTTAACTGGTGTTTTCCCCTCCAGCTTCTGTGACAGCAACCTGTCACCTGACTTGATTTACTAAGTTCCAAAGTCCAGCGAGTCAGCAGCCTACCACCTGACCTGCATATGTGGGTTTGTCAGTCGCCCAACCACACGAGTC